GAGACGAGAGAAGAATCAAAAAACAAAGAAAGAGAGGAGAAGACAGTTGAGAGATCTACTTGAAAGTGCGAGGAAAGAGGACAGCAGGATCCTATCCCACTCAAGGATTACGAAGCAGAGCCAGCGACTGACAAGGAATAGGTACAATCAATTTCTCTGCGTGCCAACGGGCTGATCCGTTCACGATTGACAAGCAAAAAATATTATAGGGCGGGAGCGGGATAGTAGGTTACCAGGAGGAGGAGGCGGGAACAGACGAAGCAGGGTTGCGGATAGGTTGAGCCTGGATCAGGGCGGCAAGGATGGCTTCCTTTTTGGCGCGATAGTATAGGCGGGCTTCGTCGTCGGGAAGGAGGGCAAGATCGGTGTTGATGATGTCGATGTCGATCTGGTCTTGCTCCAGAGCCAGCCGGGCCTGGTCGATCCGGTTGCACTCTTTGTCGTTCTCCTCGTACATCTTGTCGATCGATTTTGCAGTCTGGTTGATCAAGAGCGTATCGTGTGCGGGTCTGGCGGGGATGTTCTTGTTGGACGCTTGGGCCGACGGCGTCTTCGCCGCTGCTGGTTTTATTCCGCTGATTCCGGCAGCATTGGATTCCAGTCTATCGGTGAGTGCTTGGAGCACGAGCTGCAGCTGCTCAATGCTATCCGGCCCTCCATCGCCCGCCGTTTCCACCGCCGGGAGCTTTCCTGCCCCAGCTTGGCCGTCATGTGGTCGAGCATTCAACGAAGGGTCGATCTTGTCCATCCGTCCGCCGGCTCGCACTTCCACTGAGGAATCTGGTCTGCTTCCGTCACTCTCATCTTCCCACTCGTCACCCGTCTCCTCCTCCGCCATCCAGTCGTCTCGATATCGAAGCTGCGTCTCCCATAGGTAATGGAATCCGAACTCATATCCTTGGCTTTCTGCGAATCTATCCATCGCTAATCCGACTAATGCCTTCTCCGATTCTTGGTAACGTGGCTTCACTTCTTGATAGTATTTTGCAAACTCGATCGTATCTACTCTTATTTTTTCCCATCTTGAACCCAAAAAGAGAATTGAATTGAGATGGAAAAGGAAAGGAAATCGGGATAATGGATAAGATGGATTATAAAACTCAAACGAGACAAACCTTTCACGAAGGATGACTTGATCTACAGGAGCAGAGTCTGAAAGGCCCGACTGATTAAAGACCACCGCGAAAGTCGTCCAAAACTCATCTTGACTGGGGGCGGCTCTGGCGGCAAAGAGTTGCGAGACTTCGAACCAACAAGTAGCCAGTCGATTGTTATCGATGTGCCCAGATCGATTGAGGGATTTCTGGACCTTTTTGGTCGAGTTGCGGACGCTTGGAAACATTGTAGTGCAGATGGTTAGATCTAGGAGGTGGGTTTTTCCGGGCTTCTTCCCTTGATGACCAGGAACTCTTGTGAGAGGTTGTTCGTTTGAGAAACACAAATGTCTCAGTAACACACCTAATTCAGAATCGCTCGATGTGCGGTTTGCGACGGTCAGGATACGACTGGACGAGAGGCTGGATGGCTTCAAAGGCGACTGAATGGAAGGGCAAAGATCCAAAGCTATTAAGACAAAGGAGTGTCTTGATGCCAGTGAGTTGATAAAGCGGGCCGTTTATATATCATGCACCCACTCCAACAGGCCGGTAAAAGAAGAGTCGAGGGTTCAGGGAAACAGGCTAGCTAGCATCGTACAACGGAAAATGAAAGGGTCCAGTGGCGCGGTCCATGCCTATCCTCGGCCTGTTGGCTTAATGGCCCTGTAGGGTGAAAGGTGTGTCGTAAACACAATCACAGGGCCCAGTAGACTAGAGCCACACCCCAGCTACATAGTGGGCTTCGGAGGCTATTCTAGGATGGAGAAGACCCATTCCATGTATAAATTTATGTAAAGCTTTGCCGTCAGGAACCATACCAGCTTCGTATCTGAGGATGGTTTCTGTGGGTTGTCTCTTCTTCCGCGTACTCCTCATCGCCCTCAATACAAGTGATTAGTTCTCCCAATCTCAGCTGTTTCGCCTCCGCTCTCTTAATGGTTGTCCCATTTACAGGGATCGGGAGTAGAGCAAAATGCCACAGGAGTGGGTCGTTGAGGTTGTAGAACGTATTGGCCAGTTCCGATTGGACACGTGCAGATTTATGGTGTTGCAAGCCCGTCTGGGCACACACCAAAGTTTGGTCAAAAAAAGGCCAAGCGCGCTGGGCCAATCCCAAAGCCCGCTTGGCCAATCCCAAAGCGTGCGTGGCCCCATCCCAACCCCCGCTTGGCACATGCTAAAGTTGGCGGGGGTTGGGACAAAGCCTCGCTTGGCCGAAATCAAGCGAGGGTGCCACGCCCGCCAACATGCCGGCCCCTGAGAAGGCCAGCTGCTGAGTCAGGGCCCAGTGCCGAGCTGGGGCACCTGCTACCAATCGGCCCAGGGCTTGAAATCGGCCCAGCGGGACTTGGGTATGTGCCAAGTCCCGCCCCCCGCAGATTCCGGATGATCAAGCCTTCTGGGCACAAATCAAACCCCCGGTGGCTATCGGCCAAGCGGGAGTTGGGTTTGTGCCCAGACGCGCTTGCAAGACCATATATCGTCTTTAAAGAGTTCTTCCTCTCCGTCCTGGTTCGCAAAGAATTGGAATCGATCGGGGATCCAAAGCGAGCTGATCGAAGCGCAGATTTGTTGGACGCTCCAAGTTTAACCATCGTGCTATTATGGTGTATCAAGCCACGCTGGGCACAATCCCAAGTCCCGCTTGGCCGAGCGCCACGGGGGCCTGTGAACTTATCAAAAGCCCGCGTCCCTGCTGCGGCGTGGGGCACTGTAGCCGCTCGTCGAGTGTGCATGCACTGAGTACTCTCCCGCAGGGAGAGGACTTATGCCCGAGGGGAGCATGATACCGTGAGGCTATCATCCATTTTTGGTGGTGAAGGTTCTCATTTCTCCATAGCGCCACGAATTTTAACCTAGTTTTTTTGTCCTCGTCATACATGAAGCTTATATATATTTTTGTTAATCCTGTCAACTCAAAATTTGGACCTCTTGTCCCCATCATGCCCGCTTAAGCTTCCCAAATTTTGGGTATTGCAATTTTAATCTTGCCACTTATTGACATAAACTTTTTTTTTTCTTTTTGCTCTTTTTTTCATAACGCTCCCTCTTTTTTTCAACCTTTTGGACCTCTGACATAACGATCGCTTATAACATCCTTTTTTTCATTCTCCAGCCGTTATTGCATCATCCGGCCTGGTTCCCCATACATCAAACCCTCCCAAAGACACACCTCCCAAGCCATCCGGCCGTCGTTATCACTTCATCCGGCATCGAAAAGACGATCTGGCCATTTTGTTTGCTTTGCTTCATCCACATCGAACCCTCCCAAAGAAATACCTCCAAGCAATCAGATTGGCCGTTATCGCTTCATCATCCGAGTCCGCTGAACCCTCCCGAA